AGGCGGCGGCCGCTCTGGCAGCAGCCATGCCAGGGGCTGGAGGGGCCAAATCTGAAGCCAGAGGCAACGGCCCTCTGCCTGGAGGAGGAGGGCTCATGGAGGAGATGAGTGCCCTGTTAGCAAGGAGGTAGCGACACATCATATATTACTCTTCGATTCAGTACGTCTCAAAATAGGCACTTGAGTCATATGAATGAATTTCAGATCTTGTTTCATATACTACAGAAAAGTGAAACTTGACACAGTTGCCATACAGTAGATTTAGCAAACCCCAATGTTGGTCGCAATGGATTTTGTTGTGCCACCTGAAGAATAAGTTCATGTACTCATCACTCTCACTATTCCTCAGTATTATGAGATGATATGTAGTAAAATCGTAATTTAAATGCACTTTGTTGCTGACAGAGAAGTATCACTGTAAGATCTAGAGAAATCTAAGGAATTTAGGTTTTAAAAATGTGGAGTTCAGGAGGAATTGTGTGGTCTGTGCTTTATGATATTAACATTAAACATGATGATATGTTTTTAAAAATAGCAACTGTTTTTCAGAAATAATTCTGGACTCTGTCTTACAGGAGAAGAATTGCAGAGAAGGGCTCATCACCTGAACCTGACCAGAGATCAGTAAGTACCATTAGATCCTTCTTGTCTGCTGTATTCATGGGGTAGGACTGGATAAGTCTGACTTCTTCCTACTCCATTCAAGCATGTACTAGGTATAAGCAAATTGATATTGGATTAGCATTTGTTGGATATGTGTAAAATTATGTGTGTTGATATATCAACTGTCTTTACATGCTTGAAAGAATAAATAAATCAAATCAAATCAAATCGCACAAACCCACCAACAACAACAACAGCAAACAGGAACTGAGCTCCACGATTTGCGCATTGATTTTCACTAGGGGCATTTCTGAAATAGCCCATCTGACCTTTCAGCCAAATGGTAGTGAATGGAGGAAACAGAGGTGCTAGACTGCTCTGCCTCTCTCACGCAAAACCCCTGTGACTATTTGATTAGGCTGCACTGCTGATGACAAGGATGTGGGTTAGGTTGCTGGTGCAAATAAAGATAAACAATTAGAGGTATGGCTACATAAATATGCATGACTAAAATCCTGAAAAAACACAGAGAGCTTACACTGTTTATGCTATTTATTGAATAGAACATTGTACTGAGATTTTGGTATTCTTGGCTCCAATAACAACTAAATTTGTCCTAAGGTTAGGTGCAGAGGAAGGACCATGGAATCATTAAAAAAGAAAACTTTTATCCCATTGAGAGTACAAGTCTGTCCAGTAAATTCAACGGAAATTTAGCTGTTAGATTGTGAAACATTATGTGACCAAGGTTAACATTTTGACCTGATGGTGGCACACGCAGAAAGCTCATGGACTGTTCAAAATCGATGGGGTTCATCCATTAGGGAGCATGAATGTGTTTAACAAATACCACAGCAATCAGTCTACCAGATGTTAGTTATAGTAATTTTTGTAGCTCCTGAATTGGCCCAGTAATCAACAGGATCAGTCTGTCTGGTGTCTGTGACAAGCCTTTCTGCTGCAGTTTGCGTCAAAAACTTGTTTTTCAAAGTCATAACTGTTGTATCTGAACTCACAGGAATGATACACATACTTTTAGACTCAGTGTGGCTTACATGTACCAAGAAAAGCATTATCTCTGATGTCCATCATGAATAAATGCCTACAAATCCGCTTACCTCCAGAACTGGCCAGAGAATCATTAGCTGGCAGCATGTTTACACACAAAACAACTCCGTCACTCTTTATACTAATAAAAATCTAACTTTGGCTACTGTCATAATTACCACAGCTATTAGAGGCCACTTATATTTGTTTATGAGAAGGATAATATCAGTGATATGCACCTTCTGGCCTACTGGTAGGTGCAGTTGGCCCCTACTGACATATAATTATGGAGGTAATCACAACTGATAAGAACCATTGAATGGCATGACGATATCATACCAGCTGCAGTGTCAGACTTTGGAAACCCCTGCATTAGAGGAAAGGTCAGGGGCTGACATTAAGATTTAAAGTGATGGATCCCACTATTATAATGACTCTGGGTTCCAACAACACATTTTAGACTGTGAGATAATCTATTTCATTTAAAGTTTAATTGTCTATGTTTTTAACAACCTGCCCTTATTGTCACCATATTAGTGTTTATGGGCAGTGAAAAGATGAGAACTAATAATTCTATCATTCTATAAGGCTAAAAGACTGTTAGAAAATTAACTGTCATCAGACATGTCTGGTTCTGGCCTTCACTCTAGACTCTGCATCAGTAGGTTCCCATCACAGGGTACCTGCCTTTTTAAAAACAGTGTGGGCTCAATATACATGTCAACACTTTGTTCAAATATATAACATGTAATTCCATCTCTCCAAAATGATGATTGTTTGGTAGTGGTGGTAGTTTTGTGTATGTGTGTGTGCGTGTGAAATCAGGAGAGGGGCTTAAAGAGAGGCTGGCTTCTTTGCCCATTGCCTGGAAGAGTAGCTTGGGCTCATTATCCTGATGAAATTTGCGCAGATGTGTGAGCTGCCGACAGACTCTGCAGTGACACAAACAGCCAGCTCTGTCCCCTTGAGCCAGTCAGGTGATGAAAACTGAAGAGGCATGGGGGCTGAGAAACGACAGCCATTAAGCAAAAAAGCAAGAGGTGAGAGAGGATGGAAGAGGGGTGTTATGCATGCGTGTTTTGACAGAGCATTACATAAAGAAACAATTTATAAACCTTCTAAAAATTCCAGATGAAAATGTGCACAGGTGCACATGGCGTCTTATCATGAGGCATTAATCTAGCCGTATCCAGATGAGGAGCAGAGTGCCACTTAACAGGGAGGAGATCCACTTTGATCACACAGCCCCTGGGAAAAACCTATCGTGCTGCCTATTATGCTGCTTCATTTGCATATGTGGGCCTTATGGGTAGGCTAACATCTAGTGTGAATGTTCAAAACTGCAGCAGAGCTTACTGTTGCTACTGTAAAAAGAAATGTCCAGGAGAGACACGGAGAAAAGTCAGAGTGCTGCCAGTAGCCAGGGGTAAGAGAAGTTGACTTGTCACTTCAAGGTCACAAGTTCAAACCCAGAGACTGCTAAGAAGATCCTAAAAGTTAATTACTTTGGCTAAACAACAACACTGAGGCGCCCTTGAGCAAGGCATTTATAGTCACCCTAAATGTAAATGGCTGAGCAGCCAACGTTAAAAGGCAGCAATAGCACTGGGGAGCTGTCAAGTGGAAAATTGTGGAACTGTATGAGTATAAAGTACATAAAGTGAATATGTGCTCACTAAACTTCACCTGGATGAATAAAAGGTTTTTTGGAACAAGCAATCAACTCCGAAGAAGCCATATCTGAACCCTGAGTTCAGCATCAACAAGCAAACAGTACTTGTTTTGCCTTCTCTGACTACTCTGCGGAAGCACCACATGATCCTCGTGATCCTTGTTAGTGAGTGAAGGACTGAAAACACCCAATGAAGTTATTCTGGAGTAAACAAAGAAACAAAAACAAATGCAAACTTCCACTGTGACAGAAGCATTTTGTTTGCACAAACAGCAATAACCAACCTCTGAAAGAAGAGTGATCCACTTTCTGAGTTCCACTGGGAATTTTATTATATGCCAGACCTGCACTTGAAATAAGGAAACTGTAACACCGTACTACCAAAAGGAGTACACCACATCAGTTGAAACACTTCCCAGTTTGCAGCCCAACCTGTCTCCCCGCTTTGTACTTAGTGAAAATCCATTTAGAGCATGAACTGGTACATTTGAAAGCATCGTTCACCATACACATATGCCTATATTAAATGACATAATATATTGCTGTAATTGGGCTCATTTACAAACAGAATTGAAAAATGAAATGAAGAGAAAATCTATTTTAATTCCTTTTAAGGAAATGTGCTGCTTTATGTGCTAAAGGTGACTGAGATGATAAAATGAATGGTGAATTAAAGGCTGTGACTGTTACCCTGTATACCCTTCCACCGATAGCCCATCTATCTAAAAAGGCAGAGCTCAATAAACAGCAGTTAGTCAAAATTCAAACTGGTTCAAGATGAAGAGGCTGAAATAAATGAAGAAAGGGGGGTAGAGGAATTGCAGGGTGTCTCTGGTGCGGAGAAAATAATTTTCTACACATGGACATCAATCGTCTCAAATAATTCCCCAAACTTTTTAAAGTCTAACTTTAAATGGCATTACATATGTAGCGAGGTATAAAAATTTAATACGCTGGAGTCGGGGAAATGTCATGGGTAATGATCTTCGCAGCAGCTTACCTCCTTAGCTTTCTGTTTCAGTCGAGCTTGCTCTGGGTCCTCTTGCCTGGAGCGACTCTGTGGAGTAAAGGTGGGGAAAAACACAGGTTAACAGCTGGTTTAAGGAGCTCCCACCACCCACCCACTCGCTACTCATCTGTTGCTGCTGCAGCAAAAATAGTGCAAAATGGGAACAGGATACAGAGGTGTCAAGGACACTGTATTTGAATCGAGAGACGTGCAATGGAGCACCCCCCCGGGGGCCAGTGGCCTTTAAACTTGCTCCAAATCCAGCTCTAAATAAGCCGCTGGAGGGGGATTCTAATCAGAAGGGGTTATTAAAAAGTCTGCACGAGCCAGCACACACACACGTGGCAAAGAATGCTGGTGAGTATCCATAGCAGTGGCTATGTGTGTCACTGTGAGTCAATGTGGCAATCCGTTGCTCTGTGCATGTATGTATGCATCTGTCCCTGATGTAACAACACAGCACTTCTGTTTTATTCAGCAGCCAAGATCTGGATGAATGTACATGTCACTGGGAATCCTACCATGCAGCGAAATGTACATGTATGGCTGATCACTCCAGGCGATACAGCCAAATTATGGTACTGTACAGATTAACACTAATATTTTGTGAATTTGGACATAATCTATGTAGTTTTTTAATTTTGACAGGATTCACCAAAATTAGGTCAGGCCCACAAAAAACCCTAACATTTTTGTACAAACAGATCTTTCCCATATTGTCCAGTGTCTTTGGGTAAATATTCTAGAGCATCAGTCCTATATTGTATGTTCTTTAATAGGTTATAGTACTTTTATTCACTGTTACATTTAAAAATAATTATCATGTAGGATTATACAACAACATATCCCCCTTGAATATTTTTACAATATACTATGTGCATCATACAGTTAAAAATCTATTTAATTTCAAATACTAAATCAAATAGAGCCCGGCCTCCCTCGAAAGCAGGATAACCCACTCCTGCCTCAAACCGCTTCCTCCGTTCCTCTCCTCATCTTTTCTGTCTTATGAACAAGGAACATGAATAGAGTCTCCTAGCCTTCCTGCTAATTGACTTTAAACATATCAGGCTGTTCATGTACTGGTCGGTATCTCAACTAAGACTAATGTGTTTGCCCTCCAGCTGGCCAGAGCATCTCTCAAGACTTAGAGTTATATTTTAAATGGACAGTGTAGAGAAGGGGAGGGCTTGTTGTGAAGGAAGAAGGAGAGAAGCCGAGGGTGGAGGGGATTATTTTAGTGGACTGCTCATTCAAAAGGTCAAATTAGCAGGGGATCCAGTAGGGGAGAGGTAGGCAGGGAGGTGGGTGGTGGCAGGCGGAGGAGTGGGAGGGGTTGGTACAGATGGACTGTTTACAAAGGGCAGTGGTGCCACTGGTGTGCTTTACATCTCCTCTGTCAGCTGCCCTGGTTTCCCCACTTACAGGAGAGAACAAAGGGGAGAAGAGGACCGGGTACTAGGGTGCAATGGACTGTACTTAAATAGTGAAGACAAACTCCATATATCATCAATCTGTGATGCTGACCACATTCCAGGAGTTATTTTATGTGGCATGCTGTAGATTTTTCTTTCCTTTTTTGTACCTCGACTAGTTTTGTCTTCTCATACTTAGCTGGATGGTTTTCTAATGTTGCCCAGTATGCAAACCACTAGAGGGTTGCACTTACTTGATTTAGCTGTGGGTTGTATGTGGAAAGAGTAAAGTTTACTTGATATTGAATATTCAGTCCATGTATTCTCCTTTGGGTGAAACTTAATTCCTCTTGCAGTTATTACAAATATGTTTAGAAATTGTTTTTGCACATATGCTTTAGAAATTACTAAAAGTGAAACAAGATCATCCTTAGACCATCCTTTTATGTTGACAGCAGGAAACAGAGCAGGGGTACTGGTACAACAGATGTCATGAATAGGTTTGTGTCCATACAATAATATGGAACTGTCAGAAAACAATACACATGGTTAAGTAGCAGAAACATTAACAGAATCTTGTCAGGCACTGTGTTGGTGTAATATATCCCACACAATATTTAGGCAAAGATTTGCTTTCCAAGCTTCTCCTTGAACTGAAACACCATGGCAACAAGAGCCAAAAAGTCACAGCCATAGCTAGGAGGTGAAGATAAACTATCCTCAACAAAGCTCATGCAATCCAAATAGCTCCAAGGTAAGCCCTTTCAAAAAGAACTTAGCTAAATTTGCAAAAGTTCTTCAAGTAATCTGGTTAATAAAGAAGCTTTTCAAAAAAAAAAAAAGATTACACCGTTCAGCCATGTAAAACTGGGGACTGATAGAGCTTCACTATTCCCTCTTTAACAACACACTTTACAGTGTTGTTTCCTG